GCCTTTTCGAACTCAGGCCCTGACACAGACGCCGATGCCTGTTTTTTCTGCCCATTACGAACTCCCATGTGACATAAACGTACTTTCCCCTTTTTTTTTTATCTTTTATTTATGTGACTCCAGCAGGATTCAAATCTAGGTCTGCGTCCTTCGGGACATCCGTTGGAACGATACAGAGACTGTCTCTTATACACATCTAGATGTGTATAAGAGACAGGTATGTAACAGTAGGCAACAGCAGGCATCTGATGCCGGTCTAGGGTGAAGAGATTCTTCCCCAGTACTGGCATTCCTTCTTCTGATATTCTCCAATCCCAGTCGATTCCAGCAGGTGATCCCCTCCAATAGATGGTGCTGCTCCACAGATATTAGAAGATGGATTAGAGCATGGTGTACACATTGGGTGGGAGGGGAAAGAGAAGGATGGATTGCAAAATAGGAATGGAGTGGAGACAGGGGAGAGGGGCTGTGGGACCCAGGATGGAATTTCATCTAGTTCATGTCATCAATGGTAAATAGTACCAGTCTTAACGGTATTATCTGGTGCCCTTCTTTTGAGGGTGAAGAGGTACAGGCAAAAGGTTACACCGCCGGACACTATATAGACTTGCTCAGTCAATCCCCTGGGTTGTAGGGCAATCAATGCTGGCAGGTCTCATGGTCACTGTTCTCTCTATTCTCAGATATTCTTATCTTCTGTATAAGGGACACTGGACCCGTTTTCCAGCAGGTGCTGCTCCCCACCAATAGCTGGAGCCTCGCCCCGGGTGTAAGTGGTGTCTGCTCTTATCAGCAGCACTAACACTGGTGTGGGTTTCTGTTAAAAAAAAAAAAAAAAAAAAAAAAAAAAAAAAGGCTATTAGCCTTGCAGCAGCAAACGGGTTTGGGTCCATAGGTTGCCTGCCCGTTGGATGCTCTAGATAAATTCTTTTTTTTTTTTAAGGCGTCAACAGCGTTACTCAGGCAGCATCATCTAACTGATCAGCCCCAGTTTTTTTTTTTTGAAACAATGGTGGACGCGGCATGTTTTGAGTTCCTAAAGGCACCCAAAACAGGCCTTCGGCGACTGTGTCAGGGCTTGAGTTCGAAAAGGCGTTCGTAACTCAGGCCGGCGGTGGTGTCAGGG